ACTCTCTTATGCGTAAATGGATCTGTAATCACAGCTGCATATCTCCCATTCTTTTGCTTTCGGGTTCCAATCAAGCTTACCTTAACTTCAGGATTGCAACTTGTAGTATTGTTACAGTCATCAGATGATTTTGTGCCACAAACATTAGCCATTTTAAACACTCTGGATCCCTCTTTAGCAATACGAAAAGCTTCTTCAACAGCACCTATTTCGTGCAAATCAATCCTTTTCTCAGTTCCTCCGTTAGATGAATTTGAGATCGGAAAATCAATTTCCGATCCACCAGCTGATTCAGTCTGAAATATTTCACGATTTACATTTTCATTTTCTTGCTTCACATTGACTAATTCCTCTGATTTCTCAGAATTATATTTCCCTCTCTTGTGAACCTCAACCATACCTATCGTTTTGCGGATTCTTTTACTCTTCTTATTTCCCTGCTGCCTTAATTTCTCATTCTCAAACTCAGATTTCTTAGAGGAATAAGCTTGTGAAGCTTCTTCAACAGTGTCAAAAGTGCCTACCCAGACTCTCTTATGCCTAATTGGATCTGTAAGCTCAACACCATATCTCCCATTCTTTTGCCTTCGGATTCCAGGTAAGCTTATCTTCGCTTTAGGATTGCAGTTTGTACTGGTATTACACTCATCTGATTCGAGTTTCATCCCTTGCTTGATATTGACTACTAATTTCTTAGAGCTCAATCCCTCTTTAATGTCCATGTGATTGAGCTGAAAAGGAGTAAATAGGCTTTACCTTTACCAGAAAAAATCTCAGAAACTCCGGTACCGGCCGATGAACTGATGAAGATGACCCGTTTAGGGACCCAGTATCAGGGTCGGAGTATTTTTGGTGAAATGAAAGAGGGAAATTGGGGTTTGTTGTAACTGATAACTTCCTTTCTGAACTCACCTATGCATGCAGAGTATACTATCCCTCTTTCCCATATTATTTTTGGCTTTTCGAAATATAAACTATGTGAATTTAATTTAAATATTGTTAATATTTACAATTCAATATAATTTTAAAATACTAATGAAATTGACTCTCGACAATGAAAATTTCACGAGTCGGAGGAAGTGATACTTTGGAACTCCACTCGTGCTTCATAGCAAGCCATTTAATGTGTGTTTCTTTCTTTGATAAATATTTATCTCTATCGAGTGTTTTGACTTAACACATAATTAAGTATTTTGATGAAGTAAGAATATACTATACATAATATATATATGCATTTACATGTAATACATTTATTCGTTTTGTGTAGAACACTTGGTACGAATAAATTTCTAATAACCACACTTATAGTCTTGCGATATTATTGGCTCACTCTATTTTATTCCAATTAGTTTTTACCTCTCAATGTGGGACTTTTCGGCACGAACTCGGATTTAATCGGGCTCTATTATGAATATCGAACATTCCTTAAACCTGTGAGGTTCTACAGAAGGCTTACAAAAGACATCTCAAGAATTGCAACACAAATTTAGGACCTCTTAGTAAAGAATGTAGTAGCATTCAAGTTTTTTCTTTATAAAGAAATAATCATTACAATTTTCTCATTTTCTCAAGTGTTGTATATTTACATCAGCTGAATGATAAATAGAATTAAAAAAAAAATGCTCTTTCACAAAATGAATAAAACAAAATAATTTTTTTAGGTCTTCTATTTGTTTAACGTGAATAAGTATATTTTATGAAAAAGATGCCATTTTAAAAAGCAATTATAAATGGCTTAGAAACTACTTCTCTTTATACCTAACCTGTATTTCTTGATTTGAAACATGCAAAGGGTGTAAATTACTGATCATTGGATCATAATACTAATTTCGATATTACTAGTCATCTGCAATTTTTGACAATATTGAGGATGTAGCTCAGATGGTAGAGCACGCTATGTTATTTGAACTCTTCAAAAATAGTATCATACACTCGTGTCAGATTCTTCAAAAATTCATTATCTTTGGAGGATTCAATACACACTCGTTAGCAGTATCAAAGAATCCTAACTACACACGTCCCAAGTTATGGCGGAAATTTTCCTTTTGTTTCTTAATTTATTGTTCTTTGTGTTTCTTGGATTTATAGTTCTCTGTTGTGTGGTATTTACAAGTTCAAATTTTGCTTCTTTTTTACAAGGAAAATATCAGACTTGACTTATGCCTGCATCACTGATGCTCATGAAATAGTTAGGATGACCAAAAATTGCAAGAAGCTTACCTATTACTACTATCTACAGAATCCTAAAACTGCAAGCAAATCCAAAAATCTTCTTGCAATTTACAAACTTACAGTTCCTAAGCTATGTGAAACATAGTTACGTTATCAATGATTGTCATCCTCAGTTACAGAAATACTGAGATCATCCAAAGTGCTGAACTCACCTAAAAGATATCCATAGTTATCGATGATTGGTAAGCCCAGTTTCAGTGAAAACATGACTGCCCTGTTATCACCTGGAAGTTGCATCCATTCCCCCTTCCATAAATCTTTATCATCCTCTTGGCCTTCTTGCTTCTTCCCTGCACTAGACTCTGTTAGCATATTGCTTTGCAGCTCGACCTCCTTTGAACTCAGAAGATCGAATTTATTAGACTGATAAGAATCAATACTTCGGACAGTCCCTTCATTAGATGAATTTGAGAACAGAACATCAATATCTGGTGATCCACTAGCTGATTCGAGATGAAATGGTTCACAATTTACATTTTCATGTCCTTGCCTGACACTGACTAATTTCTCTGATTTCCTTTGCTTATTAGTGCATTGCTGCTGCTTTGCTTCGACTAATTTCTGAAACTCAAGCTTCTTAGATTGATAAGCGTGGGAAGCCTCTTCAGCACTGTCAAAAGTCCCCAACCAAATTTTCTTTTTAGTGATGGGGTTTGTAATCTCAGACCTATATCTCCCTGCTGTCTTGCTCCTGTAAGCTCCAATAAGATGTGTTGTTGTTTTGTGAGAATCGATTCGTTTAGCACTTCCACTATCACGAGTAGTAGTATCTAAGGATGCCACAACAGACTGTGATTCAGGTTGCTGAATTTGATCACAGTTTTTCTTCGGTTTATTCTTCTTATCTCCCTGTTGTCTCAATTTCTCAAACTCAGACTTCTTAGACAAATAAGCATGTGAAGCCTCTTCAATAGAGTCAAAAGTGCCCAAGCATACTTCCTTGTGCTTAATTGGGTCTGTAATCACAGCTGCATATCTCCCGCTCTTTCGCCTACGGATTCCAGTTAAGCTTATCCTGGGTTTATGATCACAGCTTGTAGTAATACTACACTCATCAGATGACTCAGCGCTATGGGCATTAGCCTTTACACATGAGGTTGCTTTAGAAGATTTAGGTTCTTCCCCTTGAGAATCGATTCTTTTAGCTATTCCACTTTCACTAGCAGCAGTATCTAAGGATGCCACAACAGACGATGATTCAAGCTGCTGAATTTGATCACAATTCTTCTTTGGTATATTCTGCTTATTTCCCTGCTGGCTTAACTTCTCAAACTCCGACTTCTTAGAGAAATAAGCTTGT